AATCTACATTCATGGACTTATTTGGCTTGATTTTCCAGTGCTTTGTATCCTGTTTTACTCACTTTGCCCAGTGATACATGACATCACAAGGCATTAGAGAATCAGGCTCATCATTCAAGTTAACCCCCTCCCCCCCAAAAAAAAAATCACACACAAGCAACACAAATGAAAGTCCAAGGAACATCTATATAATAGAACTATCCTATGAAACCTGGCCCCATACTCGAGAGTTTCAAAAACAGGTGCCTAAAGCTAGGTTCCTAAATCCATGTTTAGGCACATAAATATGTGGCCTGATTTGCCAAAGTCCTGAGAAGCTAAAAGCTCTCACTGAAGTCACCCAGGTTACAAAATCTTGACCTTAAATTTTCAACAGTATGAATTCTGTTCATATTATTTAATTTTCTCTTTTTTTAAAGCTGTAAATGCCTAACCAATGTTGCAACCAAAGATCCTGTTTTGGATCTCACTTCATACCAGTTTCACACCATTGTAACCCCATTGACTTTAATGGCACTGCTCATATATATACAGTTCTTTCAAGTGATAGTGCAACCAAGTGTTGCCAGAATATTAGAGAAGAGCTGGGTGTGGCATAGATTGGACCTCTCTTGTCCAGCCCCCTTGGGATCTCCCAGGTCCCGGAAGAGGGAATTTATGGGATAACAGGAGGTCTCCTGATACCAGACCCTCAGCCTGATGCTGGTTCCGTCAGTCTGGCGGGGCTGTCTGTAGGCCAGTCCCAGTCCTGGCTCTGCTGCCAGCCAGCCGGGCAGCTCCAGCCCCACTGCCGGAACGGCAAGCTGCCCAATTGGGCTGCTGCAGACCCAACCCCACTGCTGGGCAGCAAGTAGCCCCAGCTGTGCTGCTTCTGCCGGGCTGCCACAGCCAGTTTCCCCTTCCGAGCTGCTGTGGTCGCAGCCCTGGCCATGCTGCCGGGCAGCAGGCAGCCCCAATCACGCTGTGGCCCCCGCCACCTCTCAGGCTGCTGCGGTCATGCTGGACCATTGATGTTGCTGGATGAGAAAATCCCGGATTTGAGGTGCAACCTGTACTATCTTTTATTGGATCAACTGTGGTGGGTGAAAGAGACAAGTTTTTGAGCTCTGCGTAGGTTTGAAAGTTTGTCTCTCACATCTACAGAAGTTGATCCAGTAAAATATTTTACTTTAAGTGCCTTGTCACACATGTATAAATGCATCCTTGGCTGAGCCTGCCCCACCCCCAATGCCCTTTGAAGTAGGTATGAGGGGATTGAAGGCCCCTTCCTCTCCCTGATTTGCTGCTCCTCTTATTCAGGGAGCAAAGGGAAAGCGCACAGTCTGCTGCATTCCTCACTCTGACTAGGAAGTGCAGAGGGCAGCTGAACCTGGATTTGCTCTAGGGGACACGCGCCCCTCCCTCAGCTGTGCCTGCTGGAGCTACAGTAGCCATGGAGTGGCATGTCTCACCTGGCCCCAAGCTGTCTCACCTGGCCCCCCATGGCAGCCTGCATACTGACCCCATTATCCCCAGCCCTACCCCAGAGCAATGACTGAAATGAAGAAAAACAAAAATTGAGCAATGCTGGGTAAGTCTTCTAGTGTTGAATAAAGACTATATTTAGGAGGCCTCACAACAGAGATGGGTCATTGTGAGGGGTTGAATCAGACAAACGACATATTGAAGCCGGTATCACTAGCGAGGCAGAGGGAGTGAGATTAATTTAGTGCAGCTATGCAATCAACAAGCTATACTTACTGGTAACATGAAAGGAGATAATCCTCTCTCTCACTCCAGCTTTGTTAGTAGCCACACATCTGTACAAAGCTGACACGTTTGCTGCTTGAATCACAAGAGTGCTTACAGTCTACAAGAGAACAAACCAATTTCATACCACAAAGTCTAAGGGCAGGCATGTCCAAAGTCCGGCCTGCGGGCCAATTGCGGCCCGTGTTCTGGTTTAATACGGCCCCACAGGTAATTTGGCAATATCAATCTTTTATGGCCCCCAACGAATCCATATGTATTGAGATGAATACATTGTAAAATCTCAGTTAGTCAGTTGGTCTAAATCATTTATAAATATATTTGGACACAACATGTATACTTGGTGTTATGTTCCTGTTCATATTTTTTGAACTTAAAAGTTGACAGACAACCTTTATTACCAATAATATGTAATGTACTTTACAATGTTCCTGACATATTTCAGCTTCCTGGATTTTTTTTTCCATCTGGCCTTCAGATATGAAAGGCAGAGTGATTTAACACCTGTTTAGATTTGTCATCCATGTGACTAAATGAAAAGTATGCCGTTTGCAATAAACTTTGCATAAAATAGTTAATTTGCATTTAATTTTAATGGTTCAAAGAATGTCAGGCAAAATGGTCGGCCCTCACGCATGTTCACTTCATCAAATCTGGCCCTCTTTGAAAAAAGTTTGGACACCCCTGGTCTAAGGGCTTTCATGAGACAAACCACATAATGGCTGAGTGTGAACAGCTACATGGCAACTATCAGTTCCTGCACAATACAAATCAATGGTGTTTTTGGTACCCAGGTCATACTGGAGGGTTATGTGATATTAATTACTGCATTTTATTTCCTAATGTAGACAGTAAATTTAAAACATAGATCTGCATATATGTATTTTAAACTATATACTACCAAAATTAGCAGTATGTTCCCACACGTCTGCTAATTAATTTCCACGCCTTTATGGTTATGATATAAATGTTCATGAATACATAAAATGCTAAACAGAACTCTCAAAAACTGGCCATTTCTGACTAAGACAAATGAACATCAGCTCACCTTCATTTTCCCAGCAATAGCAACAAATTTATCTTTAATTGTTTCAATCCGGTTTCCGCCCTTTCTGTCCATGATGTCTTTCCATTTCTTACATGCATAAGGATTGATTCCCAAACCAACTTGACTGGGAGATAGACAGAAAGATTCCATTTAGGTAAGGAAAATGTCTACTCTTCAAAGAGACTATTTTTGTTCCATTTAGAAAAAACACCAAGAGATGAAACAATGGGCCAGCCATCTTATAAAACTGGTGTCTGTTCCTGAAAACATTTTTACGTACTCTATAACCTTCCAAGACCTTTGTCCTTTATATATATTTAAAAAAAAAAAGATTTCCCATGCCTAGGGGTAAAGAGTCTAATTTATCTGTCTAGGTCAGCCCAATCAGGATACTTGGAGGGAAGCAGCTATTTTGGGAACAAACTTCCAGTCATAAATTGACAATTCAAGTTAATTTCATTCAAAAGAGAACAGAGCTGTAGAAATCACTGGACTCCTTAAAAGAATTTCTTTAGGACAGTGGCCCTTGTGCAGGAAGCAACAGGCACCAAACGAAGTTTGTGGAAGTCATTTTATAAACAACCGGAAAGCAGAATGCTTTTTTTTTTTTTTAAAGGAAGTCTGGCCCTATGCAAAGCCAAGATAAGGGAAGCTGCATGTGTCTTTGTCAGAAGCACTCTCTATCATTGGCTACCATCAATCAGTGTAGTTCCTCTGAGATCCTTGTTTACAAAGATAACAAGCAACACCATATTCAGCAGCTGATTGGTGTAAGAAAAACCCCCCACAAAGAACTGCAAGTCACATAAACAGCAAATTTCCTGTGTGTGTTGTGTTATTGTACTTGCTGTTGCCCAACAAGGTTTGACCGAAGGGCCCATATACGTGTTTGGAATCTAGCAACAAGGCAAGATGCCAGCGAAAAGAGTGTCAGACACAAGAAACAACAAGTGGTAGAGTTTCATAGGTAAGTAGCCCTTTCCTGTGGAATTCACTCTTTGCAACAGCCCTCCACCCTGATCCAAGAATCTGCAGACATTGTCCAGTAGCAACAGTTACTGCGCGTGGTTTTCAAGTGCCCGACACCTCAGTTACAAAATCCAGGTGTAAAATGCCCCTCATTCTCCAACCTGGCTGACCTGCATCAGTGTAAGATCCAAGGAAAAGGAAAACTGGCTTTGCACCAGTGTTCCTGTAAGCTGAGCACTTGGGAGGACACCCAGAAGAGATTAAAATGCTGCCCTGCTGATTAGCAGAATGCCCACAGTACCCACCTCAAGTAGCATGTTTATCTACTGGTGGTGCCCATCTACACATGTTTCAGTAGGCATAACACAATTTATTCTGCACGTGGGTGGAAAAAATTAGAGGGTTCATTGCTTTACACTCCCTCTGTGTCTCATTAACCACCAAGATGATTTGAGCAGAAGTTAGCACAGCCTTAGAGCTGCTCTACTCCATGTCCTACAGCAGGTAACCCTGAGGGACTGGTTCTGGGAGGAGGAGATCATTGAAGCACTGAGTGGCTCCAGTCATGTCCCCTTTCCCTTGATCACATCACCTATGCAGGGGCTGCAACAGCCACTACACTGACTTGCCACCACCCAGGGAGTCCCCTTACATGAAGGAATCTTCAGGTTAAATTGGATTTATAACCCCTTTGCACTACCAAAGTGCTACCCAGGTGGTTGGCTAGTTAGTGTTCAATTATTTGCATTTTTATATTTTTGTAAAGAACTGTTAAAACAAACAGGGCAGCAGCACTTTAAAAATCTGAATAGTTACAGAAATGAAGTGATGCCGATTAACTGGCAAATCATGCTGTACTTACTTAGGGCTGAAAGTACACTGCTCCTCTAACTGCCAGTACCACTGGATTTTGACTGGGGCCGGAATGGCATACACTGTGCAAGTTAGGACTTGAGTAGTCGCATATTTATAGGAATCAACGGGAGCCAATAAAGCATTCTCCCCAATCTGAGGTGGAACTGTAAGAAAAACATGCATGTTACATGCATAGCTCACGATAAAGGAGTGACAGTCTTTGCCCTATGCAATTATTGTTTGATAACAAGAACACAGTTTGTTCTGATATGCATAAAGCATTCTTTCACGGGGGGGCATCTCTCTCAGCATGACTCCCCACATTCCTCCCAGGACCTGAGTCTGTGTGATTTTGAGAGCCGCCTGCATGGAGCGGAGTGTTCTCAATAATCATAGAGCAAAAGAATCAAAGAAGTGTGCCAACTTCACACAGTAGCTTCAATACAAGCCAAACATTAAGTAATCCCTCTGAGTCTTATTTACAGCTACCCCTTAAGCCTTACAAATTATCCTTCAAATCGCCCTTCCCTTCCATTCCCATCCCCAGCCAAGAAATTTATATTACTTCCAGTATTAAGTGAATGGCCTCCCTGTCCCATTGTGTCCCCATCTCTACCCCCATCATACTTAGCAGAGCTACTTTTTTTAAAAGCCCTACTATTTTGGAAGCAGCTAGACAAGTATGTTTCCTGAGGAACAGAGTGCAGGAGGAGTGCGAGTGCAGTGGAGGTGGGGGAGAGAGAGGGTTAGAACTGAGCTGACAGCAGCAGGAAGGATGGGCGAGGTAGATGAGGACTACGACGTGAAACAAAAGCAGCAGGCGAGAACACAGAGGACAGGAAAAGAGCAGGACACAGAGGCAAAGAAATAATACACAGAAAATAAAAAACAAAACATTCTTTTAGCTAACAAGGAAAACCTGAAACCTTCGGAGTTGTAAAATAACAAAATCAAAATAGCGTGACCACACTATGGGGGAGCCTCAAAGTTAGTCAAAGGCAGGCTCCATTACTGTGGATGTTTTACCTTGGCTTAAGAGCCCCAGGAGGCACTGGGGAGTAATTACTTCATATTACTCTGGGGAGCAGTTATTTCAAAATAGCAGCAGTGGAATGTCCACACTAGCGCTATTTTGAAATAACTATTTCAAAATAAGCTTATTCCAAAGAAAGCTGGAGTGCCGATTTCAAAATAACCAGCCCATTATTTTGAAATAACGGGCTTAGTGGTGTGGACACTCCACTTATTATTTTGAAATAAGGGGGGTATTTAGAAATAACCTCCTAGTGTAGATCAGGGCTAAGAGACAGGAATTCTGTCTACTCTTTCTGTCCATGAATTTTAATTCAAGAAGTGTTAGCAAACTACATACACACATATACAACAAAAAGAGAAAGGCACTGTTCATATCTCACTTACCATTCACAACCAGGTGAAAGGTGTGTCTCTGTTGCTCCTTGTTAATGGGGTTTGTGAGTACAATGGTGTAATTCCCAGCATCCTTTTCACTTGCCTCAGTAATTGTTAATGTGTAACCAAGTCTAATTGTATGATTTGTGCTGATGGCTTTTCCATTTTTATACCTAAAGAAAATACAATGTAACTTGAGTATTTTAGTGAGCCAGCTTGACACAAAATATCACAATCTGTTTTAAAGGCATTGCATGCTGACTCCTACCATTTTGCTTCCGGCGGAGGATAGCCAGTAAATCTCACAGGGATTTTGACTTGGTCTCCTACCCTTGTCTCCACCACAGACCCCATTCTGTCCAAAAGGATGAAAGGCTTTTCTGCAAGAAATAAATTGATGGGCTTGAAACAAAACATTGCCTCTCCACATGGCCAGGAAAGTAAACTGTCTCTCACTTGTTTAGTGTTTAGCTGTAGGTGAAAAGCAGTGCAGGTTGAACCTCTGCGGTCCAGGACTCTCTGGTCTGGACCATGAATGTTGCTGGACTAGAGGGCCCCAGCACAGAGGTTGCCAGTGGCTAAGAGCAGAGCCGGCCAGCGGGGCAGCATAGACCACAGGGCATCAGAGCCTGCTGCTGATTGGGCTGAGAAGCCAGCCGGGGCACTGAAGCCCACAAGGTGGGAGGGCAGAGCTCACAGCTAGCAGGGTTGCCAGAGTCCGCAGGGCAGAGACGTGCCGGGGCCACTGGAGCTTGCAGAGCCACGGAGCCCACAGGGCTGCTGCAGCCAGGGGTCCTAGAGCAGTAGTGCCAAACAGTTGTGGAGAGGAGCCCAGCGGAGAGCTGGCCCACCCTCACTTCCCATGCACACTGGCACACAGGGATACTCTGTACCACACAAGGATATGCTACCCCTCACCCTAGGCCAGGCCTTCTCCCTCGTCCCTTGCGCAGAAAAGTGAAGTAATTCAGCTTCCAGGGGACTCATGATAGCAAAAGACCACACAGCAATCTTCTGCACCAATGCTGTGCCCTCCCTAGCTTCTGTTGCCTTGTAACAAAACAAGCAATGCAAGCCAAGTGCTGTAAAGCATGTGTTCAGTAACACAATTGCTCATTTCAACCTCTCCAAGGTTTCCAAATAGAAAATCAAACAAAAGAGGCTCCACGTTTTCATTTCAGCTAACAACAGTGTTCAAAATGACATGCTACTGTTGCATAATTGGGAAGAGACTGAAGCTATGTGAAGTTTTGCAACCCCCCAAAATTCTGCGACTTTGAAAGGATTTACACTTCTTTTCTGCAACCACAAAAAACTGTAGTCAGCCCAACAGCATGACTGGCCTCTTGGCTAATACCAAACAGAGTATCAATATCTGATACAGCTGTGATAGAGGGGGGCATTTTTTGTCCTGGCAGAAGGATGGACTCAATCTTTTCTCAAGGTCCTTTCCACTTCTAATGACTATGATCAGTTTGAACTGACAAAGTGCTGAGTGCAAAATCATGATTTTAAGTCAGCCTTTGTGCTCTTATGCAAGACACACAGTACACCCTTAACTTGCAGTGTCTCTGCACTAATTAATATTGGACCAAATCCTGAAGTTCTTTCTCATTCATTCAAAAAAAAAAAAACTGCAGCCAATGGAGTTCTCCTTGATTGAGGATTGAGGAAGGATTTGGCCAAAGTAATTTCCTCTGAGTCTTTTCCTTATGACCAAAAGTAAAGCGGAATCCATGTTTCGGAATCCATGTTTCAGTATCCAGAAAGTTCCTGGCCGGATTCTACTTCTCTTAATCACAAGTGATACCTTTCTGTTGGTAGCCACACTGAACTCAATCGAGCTATCTGTGGAGTCAGATACTATTCATTATGAGTAAATGTGCCAGAATCTGACTCTAAATATACCATTTCAAATGTACAGTATCCCTGAGGGGAGAATAAATAAAGGGCCTGCCAGTTGATTTCAGTGGTAATCACATCTAAGGTCCTAAGAGAAATAGAAAAACTTTGAGCTATAACAATACTAACAATTAGAAGCAATGGAAACACTGCATTTGAAGTGTCTCTGTTTACACTGAGAACGTTTTGATTGACATACCATGCTGCTAATGGCTTTCAACTTTTGCATTTTCCATTCCATCAGTGCCCACCTATAAATAGCCAGAATTAAATCAGAGAATTCCATACCATGGACAATGACATACGTGCTGTTCTTCTTAGTCATGCGGCCACTGAATGCTGTGCAGTTATATCGGCCTCTATCACTTAAGGTAACATGATCTATGGTCAGAGTGCTTACGAACTTCTTTGGCTCATTCCCGGACGATGTTTTCAAGTCTCTGACTACAGCACGTTTGCCCTGTAACAGAGTAAAAGCTCTGAGAAGCAGTTCATTCCAACTTCTCCTCGACTCTCCTCACCAATGGCAGTTTAGCCAGTAGGCCAATGGGGCCCATCCTCAGGAGGCCCTGAAAAAATGTCCCAATCCATTCTGACCAGTAATCCTGTTGGGGTGTGAGGTCGGGGCATGGAGGTTTCCCCTGCTCTGCCTGCCCAGTGCTCCTGCCAGGATACAAAGGAAGCCACAGTGGCCTAATCCCACTCCCCAGCAAGGGAAGTGAGGCAAACCCCACCACGCCAACCCTGCTCCTGGCAGAAGCAGCAGGGGAAGTAAAGGGGAAGAGCAGGTAGAAGGGGTGAGTGGGAGTACCTGCACTTGCTCCGGCCCCAGACCCTGAAACACTGTAATCCACCTCTGCTCCGCAGTACATATTATATAGGCTGCCGATTCCTTCTCTTCAGAGATCATCATCAGCTGATGATACTATTTAGGAGTGGGTAAGTGGGTAACCCAAACTGCTATCTTAGGAAACTAAAATGACAATGGACGCTAAGACACAGGAGCACCCTTATCCCTCTGTGTTTCAGAGCTCAAGAACATGGGGTTAGGAAACAACTGTTTTACCTTAACAGAAGGGTGATCCCATCTGAAATCAATTCCAACATTTGGCTCCGTCCTCACAGTACAATTTAGAACTAGTTTCTCCCCTGCTGCCAGCTCTACTTGGTGATAAGGGTGCATAGTCAAGTCATAAATTCTGTACCCTGGAAAAAGCAAAAGGAACAGCATTTGTAAAAAACAATCTGCTGAATGACATAAGGTTGCTGCTTTCCTGGTGTCATTTAGTCTTCCCTTTGAAGTGATGCTCCCAGAGCAGAAATCCTAAGAAGCTTGAGCAGTGGGGAGATGGGCATACACCCAATTTCAAGAAGTGGAGATTTTGGAGGTGGAAAGGATGAGGGTGCCCAAAAATTGTACTGACACATAATGGATCTCAGGCATGTACAATCTACTTTCAGATTTTATCACATGCAAAATAAGTGAACAACTGTGAGATCATTTGCTAGAAGCTCCCTCGTGGTCAGACACAGTAAAGTACAAGAAGCTGGCAGAGTGAGCCCCCAATACTTCTAAGCTGGTCACAGAAAGGTGTTTGAGACAGAACCTGGGAGCGGCTAAGCATCCTCAACCCTTATGAAACCCACTCCCTAAATATTTTGATAGACCAAAAGTTGGCATCAGGTGATGTGCTTGGAACTTTACCAACAACAAAAATGTCCTAGCATAAAACTTGCTATAAAAACATATCAGAAATATATCCAGAAATCCTGAATGACTCAAAAATCAGGTATAGGATGATGAATTGAGGGAAACTGCTGCTGCTAAAAGGGAGAGGGATCGCGAGATACTCCCTATTTTTTTTTTCTTCCTCTCTTTGGGAATCTCTGACTTTAGATAAGAACGTGCTGTTCCTAGCTTGTCAATGCCACATTACCACAGTGAAACTCAAGAGGTTGGGGATTTGCTCTTCCAACCCTGGAGGTGGAGTTTGCTCTACAGTCCAGGAAGAACACTGCCATTTCAGCATAGGTGGGGGCTTAAGAGGAGTCATCATGTTACCTCTGGTTCTGAATGAGCAGTAGAGCTTTAATGTGTCAGAGCCATATTCATCCCAGTTAGTCCCCAGACATTAGTGTGAAGGAAGACAAGAATTTCTTGAGGGCAGGCTGTTTTGCATTTCTAGTGTGATATGCTCTTTTGAAACTCCCAGATTCTCCTCAGAGCAAGCTAGAACCCTCTCCTCTTCTCTGAGCTGCTATGAGCTGGGCCAACAGCTTTGCCAGGCCCTTAGGCAAGATAGGAGGCCCTGCTCTGTGCTCCTGGAAGGGGTAGGCCCTTGAGTGGAAGGGGCAGGGCTGGAGATAGGCAGTCCTCAGTGCTGCCTGCAGGCATGCCATGTGGTACTCTGGCAGTAATTTAAAGGGCCCAGGGCTCCAGTCACCGCCACAGTAGTAGCAGCCAGAAGCTCAAGACCCATTTGTATCTCCGAGCCCTGGGAAATTGTCCCCTTGGAGTGCCAGTTCTCAAGGTCCCTTCACTTGTGCTTTAGTCTCTCCGTGATGACATTCATTACAAAAGAGAAAGAGAGTTTAGGAAAAACGAAATCCTGCATAGTTGAAAAAAAAACACCAGAAAGCAATTCAGGTAAAATACCAAGTATAGATATCAGTGATTCATCCAAAAAAGTACACAACAACATTTTCCCTTTAAATTCAGGTGTGTGTTTTTTCAAAACAACATATATGAAAACCCATTTGTGTTAACTATAGTTTCAGTATTCCTGATTTACAGCCCAATCAGATGAAATGGCTCAATATGTTGCACCAAGAAAAATAATATTGCTTAAAACAATGACCATAAAGAGTCATCTTTGGCTCACCTACAACCACAACTATGTACATCACAGACTGGTAGCTTTCATCATTTATTTTAGCTTCGCAGAAGACCATGCCGGCATAGGTGATCAGGTTACTGGGAATAGTGAAGCCTTTTTTATTATCCCATGAAATTGATTTACCGTCAGGAACAAATACCTTTTCTGGATACCTCTGTTAAAAAAAGATCAATAAAATATAGTTAAACTCCAAAACTAAACAAATTCAAAATTGTTAGTCTAATATTCATGACAATGTTATGGATGCAGTCTTGGCATCCTGACTCAGGCCACGCTCACTTTGCAGTCAACCGATGTTTACACAAGGAGAGTGGTATTATTTGCTAGCAGTGATAATGTTACCATTCTGTTCATAAGTTTCAGAAACTCCAGAAATAAGATGCTAAGATATTGTATTAATGTTAAATTTTGCTACTTCTAGAATAAATAGGAAATAATTGACTTTTTTCTTACCGCATAAAGTGATACGTTGAGATTTGATATGGATCCAAGACATGGAATCACCACTGTTTTGTTCCCAGTAATGTATATAACACCAAGCTGATCACTAACTGAAGTCACAAATGGAGATCTGTAATCTAGAAGAATATTTGATTTGTAAATCACCACCGTTTGCATTTATTATAATCTCTTGATTTGGAAAGAACCCAACCTGCTATGTTTCGCTCTTGTCTTTCATTTCCTATCTATTCCCTTTGTTATTTGGAAAACATTTCTATTTTTCTTGTATGTAAACGGAGATTAAATTGACATAACTGTGCAGTTTAACTCCTCCTTGTCTAACAGTACCATCATGCCCAAATACACAGTAATAGTGTCAAAACAATTCTGGGAATTCCATGCCTGACCCCGAAGTCTTTACACAGGCAGAACTCCAATTTAAGTCAATGTGCTTAAGGACTATAGCAATGGATCCCAGTATTGGTAAAAGGAGCTAAGTGCTTCATAACCCCTAAAATAATGGCTATTCTTTTTAAAATTCTCAACAATAAATAAGTGGCTTTATAAACAACCCTATATATTAAAAACCAACTTTTCAGAATTCTGACTATAAACTATAGAAACAAACCTGTGCATGGTGTGGTGCACAGGTAATTGAAGCCAGATAATTAAAAGGGAAAATATTCAGGGGCTTACTCTAATGTCATTCTGTGTATGCAGCTACCTAAACTGCATACATAATTGAAGGATTTATAGTTGCAGCCACATGCATTTTATAAGCGCAACTGCGAGGACTGTTTTGAAAAGTCAGTCCTTGAAGTCGACCTGGATTTCCCCAGAGTCCCACAGCTGTAATATAGACAAAATTTCAGACTTGACCTATGCATTGTCCTGTTTAGATAATACAAATGTGACAGCTATGTATTGCTTTTAAAATTGTACAAATACACCCTATAATCCTCCTATGTGTGTAACTCCTATTGAAGCCAATAGGAGTTCTTCATTCAAAGAGATCAGTTCCCAGTATTGATGTGTAGGCTAGTGTTTGTAGAAGTAAATTAGACTAATTGCTGCACATCAGTGCTTTTTTTGTTAAAAAAAAAAAAAAAGTGCCAGTACTCCAGGGGAAAAAAGTTGTTGAGCTCTGACTGGAGGTGCCAATACTGCGTACCGGGCAGTACCGCTACAAAAAAAGCACTGCTGAACATATCGTTTTTATTAATCCAGCAAACAGGTACTTTTCTATTTATAGTAAATAGCATAGGGTATGTCTACACTACCCCCCTAGTTCGAACTAGGGGGGGAGTGTAGACATACCCATACTGACATGTAGATATTTCACACAATTTGCATACAGAATGTCAATTTCACAAAGCCAAGAATTCCAATATCAGGAAACTAGTCCCAATTTTAATTGTAAAGATAGCCTGGTCAGCAGGACAGAAAGAAGTGCTGCAGGCTCATCTTTGTGAAGGTGAAAGCCAGGAGGTCAAGCTCAGCATGAAGTAATCTTTTATGTGATGCAAATGTCTCACTTACAACTTATGGTGATCATTTGTTCCATACCTGATAAATATCTCTAAAAGCTGCCACTGAGAAGAAAAGCTGTGATCAAGGATCTCACAGTTTACTATCAAAAGATGTTCCTACCATCACAGCTAAAACATATGCTAAGTTTCTGCTGCTACATTGTTGTTTACTGTGCCACCCAAATGCATGTATAGAGTGTAGGCAAATGTATCTGTGTGATACGATCTGCAAAGAACTAAGAGGGATAATGAAAAATACAAACTGAGCAGAACCTTCATTCAAAACCCAGCCTAAGGGGGAAAAAAGTTGGTTTCTGAGAGTCAAATAAGTTTGGCTGGCTTTTTGTACATATTTTTGCACAAACATTGTGTCTCCACATTTTGACTGGAAATGCAAGCACTGAAAAAACCATGAGATGCCCTTCTGCTAAATAAAGTGTAAAGCTTGATACAATGGGAAACGCTAGACATCTCATGAAAGCAGTCTGATTTCCCCCACTTCCGTGGTTGTTATGATGTCCTGTTTCAATCTACTTTAACAATGTTAAGGAATAGTTTCTGCAGTTATTTCCTATGCAGAATGGCTATAAACTTCATTGGAGTTCAATGAATCCCAGCACCTACAGAATAAATGCATAGTTCTACTCTTGTTTTCCTTAAAACCTTGAAAAAAATGGACTGGTAACTGCTTTCATCTCAGGCTCACAGTCTCCAGCCTACAACTGTTGATCTTGATGCATATGCTTTGCTAAATAGGTTTTCCTGTGGGCAATTCAATGAACGTTACTTTAAAACAAAGTTTTTTGAAATCCTTGTTACACCTTTGTTTCTTTTCACCTTATTGTTAGGTAGGAATCATGTAAGACACTTGCAGCCACCTACCTTGAACATAGATATAAATGCTTGCAGTTGCCTGGGAGTCTCTGTAAAAGCACTTGTAGTCTCCAGTGTCATTCCCTATTACTTTTGTGAGAGTGAGCCTCTTACAATAGGGGCCGTCCTGGCAGTCCGTCACTGCCAGATGTTTTTCAGAACTACTCTGATTGTTAGGCAACAGCCATTCCACAGCTCTTTGACCACTAGCAAAACAAATGAGAAAGACATATTAGGGCAGGAGGGGCTGAGGGGCATGCTACGTCCACGTCAGGAAAACTGAGCCCTACTCATTCTTGAATGGCCTGTTTTAACTTCAAGACAAATTGCTACTAGACAAACTTAAACCATTAACATTAAGAAACACTAAATCTGATAAAGGAATATTAAGAGGTGATGAATCCAAGACTCCAAAATGGGGAGGCAACTGAGATGACAAAGGCTCTGCTTTACCCCCAACCAGCTCTATGTTCCAGAGTACTCTCCCCAATGCCTGCTGCTTGCACCGCATCTTTCCCACACAGGAAGAGTGGCTGAGGCTACCCAGGGATTACATTAATGCATTTGACACACTAGACCTGGGATGAAGAACCTGGGATGCATCCTCCAGCTTATCTGGATCTGACCCCTGAGACTCAGGGCTCTCCCCCAAGCATCAGGAAGCCCACACCCCCACTGCAGGTCTGGAGGACAGCAAATCTACTAGCTTAGGCCCGCCCTAGGCTCTGGTGCGTGAAGGGAATGTATGGAGTGTCTTTCTCTTCTCAGTTGGTGGCCACATCAGTGAGGATTTGGGTGCGAGTTTTGGGGGGTATTTTGGTTTCTCACTTGTGTGTGGCCCCCACCTGATTTTTCCTTGGGTCAGTGGCCCACAACCCAAAAAAGGTTCCTCACCTCTGCACCTGACTCTTGAGAATATCCCTTGATTAACCAATAGCTCTTATTTTGTTCTTTATTCTCCTTGTGATCTAATTCTGTAAGAGTATGTCTACACTTCATTCCTCTCTCGAGAGGAATGCAAATGCAGACACCCGAAATTGCAAATGAAGCAGGGATTTAAACATCCCACGCTTCATTTGCATAATCGAGTTATGGCACTACTGTGAAATAGCACTATTTTGAGAGAAAAAATGGGGTTATTTCAAGATAAAACCCTTCCCTCGAAATAACCCTTAAACATCATTTTTTGAATAGTAAGGGTTATTTTGAGGGAAAGGTTTTATCTCGAAATAACCCCGTTTTTTTCTCTCAAAATAGCTCCATAACGCAATTATGCAAATGTAGCACAGGATATTTAAATCCCCATTTCATTTGCAGTTTCAAGAGTCTGCATTTGCATTCCTCTTGAGCGAAAGAGAGAGAGAGAAAGAGAGAGAGGGGAATGAAGTGTAGACATACCCTAATACTTAGTCCTTGGCCTGCAATGGAGAAAGGGTTTGCGCAAGGTTCAGGAAAGAGAAAGGGTTCACCTCTCTATAAAATTAATTAATAAATCATTGTCATAGTGATAATGAAAGCCAATGTTTCCCTTACCTGCAAGTAATATTTAGAGTATCATTTGCAGTTATTGCAAGGATATCTTTTTGTATGCTAAGACTTGGCTGATCTGGAGAAATAAACAAGCCTGCAAAAGAAAAGCAATAAATCAGAAAATCACTGCAAAAAAGGGGAAAGAGAGCATGTTTTAAGTTGACCTATTTGTTTAATGTGTTAAATGTTCTACAGCTTTTCACACATCCCAGTAGAAGTTCACGAGCTCTGTCATAACAGGAAGAATGGGCAGATGGTCATGAGCTAGCAGAATAGCTCTGCAATTCATAAAGCTCGGGTGGAGTTCCTGTTTTTTTGCATTACCAACTTCAAGGTCTAACAAAAGGATATGGGACATTGAAATAAAGTGAACCTTCATCTGATGATCTCACTCCCTTGGGAAAACTCTTATAGTAAATTGAATACATACATTTGCCAAGGCTGCTGATTAATGAATTCTGCTAAATTATTTTGCATAGTGCATCATAAACTCAAGGTCATTTGACCCAGTCTTGTTTTCCTTTATCGCATTTTCTAATGTATCTCCTTTGTTGCTTGAAACCCTAAGAAAACCTGTTTCTATCAAACCTTATTTAGGTGATTGGTTCCACGGCATTCGGGGAGAATACTCATGTCAGTTAAAGCTTGCAGATAATTTCCAATATTTGTTCTGATGTAACTGTCCTGCCCATGCAACCTTTCAAAGAACACAATGAGATGTTTTTGCCATTTATTATCATACTCACTCCCTTTGGGAATTCTGTGTCAGTAAAGGATGAGTACACATATCTGAGTAAGTTCTGAAACATTGCCTTGGCCAGACAACACGGCGTACTTAATGCAAATTCAGATGTACAAGGAGCAAATGAGTGAACGTGCACAATAAAATGAACAGCGATGGTACAGACTGGACCTCCTTTAACCAGGACTCCCTGGTTCAGCATCGTCCGTGGTCCATCCTAGACCACAGATATTCCTGGACCATAGAGCCCAGGAAGAGGGCAGTCTGGCAGGAACACTGTAAGGGGCACCGGCGACTCAACCGGGAGTCCAGAGTGTGTATGTGCGGTGGGGGAGGAGAGACAGCATGGCAGGGAGTTCTGGCCCCAGCTGAGCTCCCTGGCCCCAGCAGCAGCCAGGCCTGGCCCTGGCCAGGGAGCTCTGACCCCAGCGGCAGCCAGAGAGCTCTTGGTTCCAGCTATGGAGCTCCTGCTGCATTCTGGCTCCAGCAGCCACAGAACTCCAGCCCCAGCAGCCAGGGAGCTCTGGCCTGGGCCGCGGAGCTCTGTCCCCATCCCTCCACCCCAGCCACAGAGCTCCAGCCCCAGCTGTGGAGCCAGGTGGCTACAAAGCTCTGCCCTGACTGTAGTGCCAAGCAGCTGTGGAGCTCTGCCTCACTGACAGTAAAGTCATCCTAGAGCTAGGGGCTTCACTATCTCGCCACAATTTCATCATATTTTTATCAAACCTTTCCTACAGAGATTCTTTGACAATAGGGTTCAGATAATTGATTTCTGTTGCACTTTACTGTAGAAAGCCATCACTAAGGTAAAAATTTGAATTAAGAAGGAAAATCAAATCAAATTTATAACTTACTCTTTATCATAGGATTTGCAAATAATGATTTATCTAGTCTAATCGTCCAGCAAACAGGTTTAAATCTTTCTGGACTAAATCCTCCTCCCATTTGCGTGCCTTCAACAAAACTAGTGTACAGCTAAATAAGAGTCCCTAGAAGTGTTCGATACTAAAACTGAGATTTTATTCTCATTCAGTGTTGCTTTGTTAGACGTAAAAACTAAAGTAAAATAAGCTCCATTTAGTCAAGAATGTTCAGCCTTAGTCAAACTGACCATTGTATGGCTAGATTGTTTTCTTCAAGGTGAAACATCATGCCATGAACTAAAATTACTCTTATGCATATCTCTAAGGAGAGTATTCCAAAAGAAAATACATTGGTAACTTACATATGCACTTCAAAAAAAACATGATATACAAATATGAGGATCAATAAAATAGTATTACTTGTTGTGTAAACATGCAAATGTTTGGTATTAAATTAATATCCATATTATAATAGTCAAAATGTTTGAGTTCCAAACACAAGCATAATTTTAATTATATGAATATCCATATTAGAATAGCCAAAAAAGGTTATTTTTGTGTTAGACACAGGCATTATTTTAGTTAACTTCCAAGTCATCCCAATTTATTTAATTTCTGCTAAAATATTAATTTCAGTATGATTGTTATCACTGGGCTTAGTCTCAGTCTAAATAGCCTCCTTTAATGAGAAAGAGAATAGCATAAATGTATCATGTTGAATTTCAAGAATTTTGTACCACTTATTCCCAAGACAACGGTATAGTGAACAGGTGATTATTTCCAGGCACTCCACTCATTCTTGTTTAGGCTGTAGAGGCAGGAGTTAGTTGTATTTTGTGTCTTGCACAGCATATTGTTAGCTCCTCACAGACAGAAGGAAACTCCTTTTCCCCCATCTTGTTTCCCCATTCCCCCCTTTTCATTAAGATCTGCCTTGGCCATGGGAAAGTTTGGCAAAACTGCCTGGCGCTTGGTGAGTTTTCTACAAAAGATGCAGGGATGAAATTATGGCTCCATCCCTACACATGCTGATCAGCCTGCATGGTCACTCCAAATTCTCCTGGTAAAGCAATGGCCTGTGCACCTGCCTATTCTCTCGTGCGAGGCACAGGATGTCCTGTCCTTTGCAGCACCTGAGCAGGAATAAGGAACAGCCTCTTCCTCTGGAGACCTCAGGGGAAGGAGGAGGCCATGGCCAAGGCTAAGACCTTTAACAAGCTCCGTAGGCAAAATCTCAGCTGGAGCTATAAATGGGGGTGACTCCCTTGGCTTCCCTTTCTCAACTCACCCAAGAAGACCGTCCCCAGGTCACCAGGCAACACAAGCCAGGGGCATAGGGTGAAATCATCCCTCTACTGAAGCCAAGACCAAACCCCCCATTGACTTCAACAGGGGCAGGATTTCCCCGGGGGTTTATTCCGCCTGCCCCAGTCCCTATGTTCTGGCTCCATGCGGTTCGCTTTGGGGGCTGGGACAAACCTCCCGTCGCTTCCCACGGCAGCAGGATCGGGCCCTGCTGCATCTCCGGGGTTAGCCCTCGCCCGGCTGCTCCCATCAGAGCAGCTGCCCCCAGGCTCTGGC